TCAGAGGCTGCACAGGAATTCCTAGAGAAACGGAGTCCAAGTGCAGAGAGCTGCTCTCCATGTTCTCCTCACTTATGAACTGTTTCTGTCTCTTGCTCTCCCCGCTCTCAGGCAGAAGAGGCGATGGCCACGTATCGGACCTGTGTGGCGGATGCAAATACCCAGAAGCAGGAGTTGGAGGATACCAAGGTGAACTCCTTGCGGCAGATCCATGAAGTGATCAAACAGAGCGACCAAGTCATCAAGACGGTGAGTGGGGTTTGCTTGGGATGGCCCCCAGGACGGGGGGTCGCCGTACCCTGCTCAGGAGAGGTTCAGAGCTGCCTCCCCAGCAGACCTGGCTCAGCTGCTGCTATTTCAGATGAGGTCTAGGTGGAGGTAGAGCTTTCTTTGCTCCGTTGCACTCTGAAAAGCCAAGGCTGAAGGCTGCAGACCAAGCACCGATCTGTGCTCCTGATTTCTCCTCTAACCTGGAGCTCCTTGTCTCTCTCTTCCTCGTACGTCACCTCACAAAGCTCACGTCTGATTTCCTCTACGTTATTTTTAGGCCACGATCTCCTTCTACCAGATCATGCACATGCAGACGGCTCCACTGCCCGTCAACTTCCAGACACTGTGCGAGAGCAGCAAGCTCTACGACCCCGGGCAGCAATACGCCTCTCACGTCAGGCAGCTGCAGCGTGGGGATGAACCCGACATCCAGTACGACTTTGAGCCCTATGTGTCGCACAACGCCTGGTAGGAAAGGAGAGGGGGGAAATCGTTCCTGGTTTACAGTCCTCTTCTCTGTCACTGGCAACCTTCCCCCGGGCTGGCACTGCGCTCCCCTGCAGAAAGCAGCGTGCTTTCCATGGGCCTGAAGGCAGCTCCCGCTGGGAAAGCTGGGGCTGGACCGGCTGGGAGTTCCCCTCACGTCCTCTCTGACAGATGAGACAGGCCAGGTGGTATTATAGGAGAGGCCTGTAAATCCCAAGACAGGTGGATAGCAGCCATGAATAAGGTTTTCAAGTGTCCTTCCTTCTCATCCACTCGGACATTCCCTTTTCTCCTTCTTTCTGCCCATCAGGTCCCCCTTTACTCGGGCACGGAAAGGCAGCTTCAATGCCAATGACTTCTCAACGAGCGCTGGCGCTGACGGGGCTGGGCTGCCCAAGGACGGGACCGTCTCCGCAGGAGGGGCAGGGGCCAAGGGGTAGCAGAGCGGGGCTGTGGCAGCCGAGCGGAGAGGTGAGCCCGGAGCCGAGAGGAGCCTCTGCACCGCCGTCCCCACGCACTGCTTGCAGCAGGCTGTCGTTCCCCCCCCTGGCTTAGGAGCGAAGCAGGACCTCCGTGGTGCCGAGGGGGCTTCTCTTTGCAGCAGAGGGACAGGCCGGAAGCCTCGCAAACTCAATTTCCTGAAGGACACAAAATCAGATCTATGGGTTTTGGGGTTTTTTTGCTTTTGCTTTTGCTGTCTAGTGCTACCTCACAGACCATTCCCCATCTTCCCATCTCTTCTTTCCCTCGCTGGGTGTGTTACTGAAGACATCACAACCCCACCAGCCCCTTCACCAGCCTGGCAATGGGAAACCAAGCAGCTTCCTTCACTAATTTAAGTGTCCCCTGGAGTGCAGGCTGTTCTCCTGGACGCAGGAAACAATATCACATGGACTATGTGTGTTCCTCTGCAGGTGGGAGGGGACACCAGGTCCACAAATCCTGGCCAACCTCTGTTACTGAAGTTGACAGCAGCCTGGATTCCAATGCAGGTAGATACCAAAACCAGCCCAGGGCCGGCAGCGCTTCCCCTTCTAGTACAGTCAGCCTAAACCCAGCCTCGGAGCCAGGCGGGACCTGGCACTTCTTTTTTTTTACCTGCCTTGTAATACACTGTGTGGTAAATAACTGCTTTGATCCCAACCTGCAACAGGCTGGGTGGGATGGGATGGGACGAGGGACCACTGAACCTTTAGACTCCGCTGCAGGGCACTGTACGGGCACACACAGCCCCTGGGAGCTCCCAGTTTCTCATTTTCCGCAGAGCTTCCCCGGCAGCGGAGCACGCGGCTGCTTGCTGTGGGAATGGGCCACGAGCAGCAGAGCGCACGCAGAAGAGAAACTGCTTTGCCAGGAATCTCACCGCCTTGTGGGTTGTCTTTTGACAGGTGAATTCAGCCAAAAACTCCAGCGGTTGTCTTCCAACGGCACCATGTCCTCCAGCGAAGAGCTGGAGGAGAAGGATGAGAACGCCACCCCCTTTGAGCAGAGTACGTGGCAGCGCGGGAGGTGACGCGGTGCTCCTGCTGTGCGCCCGCATGCCATGGGAAAGCTAACGCGGGGTGACTTTTCCCAAATCCAGTAGTTCTGGAGGTAAACTGAATGATTGCTGGGAGGATAGCTGACGGTGACCCCCTGAGGGGCCCAAGAGCATTTCCTTTACCAAGGGCTGAGCTCTGCTCAAACCGGTGGGAACAGATGAGCCAGGGCTGCACACCTCAGCATATGGGTCATTTGCAATGTTGCTAAAGAACTCGTGCATCCGCTGGCTGGCTGCTCTGTGACAGTGACCCGCTGCTCAGGCTTTGCCTCACCTTACCTCCTCCGGAGCAGGGTGCAACTGCATTTCTTTTTCTTCCGCTCGTAGGCATCAACGGCATCACCCCAGAGATGACTGCTCCAACGGGGCCCTTCCGAAACGTTGGCTTATCCAAGGCTGCCCAGACTCATCGGCTGAGGAAGCTCCGGACCCCTTCCAAGTGTCGGGAGTGCAACAGCTACGTTTACTTCCAGGGAGCAGAATGCGAGGAGGTAAACCTGGGAGAAGTAGGAAGAGAGCTCAGCAGGTGGAAGGGATGGCGGATATGTCCCATGAGCGGGGTGACCTCCCCTCTACCTGCAATTCACTCCGTCCTCAGACGAGAGCCACGTGCTGTGCAGCAGCACATTGTGGGCAGCTTTGCACCCAGGCACCGCAGGTTTGCTGTAGACACACACGTGGTCAAAACCACAGGTGTAACCGCAGCCAGGACGGCCAAGGTCCCTGCGGAAGCAGAGGTGCCAGCATGAACCTTGGGGCAGGACTACCTTAGCCCTCCTCTGACCTGCGTTCAAGAAGATGTTCCCAGCCGCTGCTTTTTTTTTTTCCCCCCAGTTCTGGGACTGGTTCATGCTCCGTTGTGGCTTGGGGTCTGCCCCTCTGAGACAGGTCAATCATTCCCAGGGCTAAGGAGGGCTTGACCCCATGGCTGTGTCGTGCAGAAGACATCATCCCCAGTGACTTGACCAACAGCGGCCGTTGGAAACATGCTGCTCAAAACATCTGCCCTATACCACTTTGGGGAGGGGTCCATGTGCTTGGTGTTGGTCCTGCAGTCTCTCCAAGAAAGGCTTTTTTCCGCTCTGCCATCCTGCTCCTTGTTCTTGGAGTGATGCCTGGGGTCTCTTGGTGGCTGCCCTTCTGCCTGACCCACGGTGCTGCCTCCCAACTCCACACACTTCCCCTGTGTTTTCCAGTGCTACCTGGCCTGCCACAAGAAGTGTCTGGAAACCTTGGCCATCCAGTGCGGGCACAAGAAACTCCAAGGGAAGCTGCAGCTTTTCGGGCAAGACTTCACAAAGGCTTCTCAGAGTAGCTCAGATGGCATCCCCTTCATCATCAAGAAATGCATTTCTGAGATTGAGAAGCGGGCACTGAAAACCAAGGTGACGCACTCTCTCTTCCCTCTTCTCCAGCTAGGCTGGCTCAGCTGCCTTCTCTTGAAACGTCCTTCTGCCTTGGTATGAAAACCAACAGACTCATTTTTCAGATTACTGGAGGCAGAAAGCCAGAAAACCCCATGTGATAACTTGGCCCTGGTAGCCCAAACTCTGACCTTGGAAACTCACTTCTCTTGCCTCCCTCTTTCCTATGAAACAGGGACAATAACATCTGAGCTGGAAGGGGAAGTCCCAGAATGACTTCTGAGAGGGATTTCCAGCCCCAGAAGGAGAGGGTGGGAGCTAGAAGCTCACAGTCTCATGCAAACATGAAGAGAAGCATCTCTCCTCACTTCGACTCCACTTTTCTCTCTTCTACAGGGCATCTACCGAGTTAATGGTGTCAAGACCCGTGTGGAGAAGCTTTGCCAGGCATTTGAGAACGGGAAGGAGCTGGTGGAGCTGTCCCAGGCCTCCCCCCATGATATCAGCAACGTCTTGAAGCTCTACCTGAGACAGGTCAGGGGCTGGTGGTACCTTCTGCTGGGGGGGGAGGCAGGGGAGAGGTGCTCAAAGGATCGAACTTCCCAACCCAAACCTGGTTTCACCGAGTCATCTCTGGCAGGAGTAATTCTGCACAAACTGAGCTTGGTAATTGCAGGGCGGTGGGGGTGCTGAGGACTCCCTCCTACAGCACCACATGCACAAGTGGGGGAGAGCACGCTTGCTGCCCCTGCTCCAAGCTGACTGCGGGTTTCCTGCTCTCGGTGAGCCCTCGCACAACTCACCGCCGTCGCTTCGTGTGGCGAAATGCAGTGGCATTTGTATCCACAGAAAAACAACATGCAGAACTACCGAATCCTCCCTCCCCCTTTGCAATTGGGGAACCATGTACACGAAAAGGGAAGCGATCCTGCAAAGGTCCCTCCTGACAGCAGAGCCAGGGTTGAGCTCACATCTCCCTGAGCGGGGCTGTGCCCCTCGGGTGGCCCTGTGGTGGGC